AAAAAAAAAATTTATGTACCAACCACCAAAGCCAAAGACGAGGAAATTGGAGAGGTTTACTAACTTTGCAGTCTGAAAGTGACTGAACATACAATCAAGATATGCTGATCATCCCTGGTGATCAGAATGCAAAAGTTGGAAACAAAGATGAATCACTCACAGTTGGAAAATTGGCATTGGTGATAGAAATAACACTGGAGATCACATAATCAAATTTAGCAAGACCAACGACTTATTGAGAATACCTTTTTTCAACAACACAAACAATGGCTATACACGTGGATTTCACCAGATGGAGTACACAGGAATCAGATTGACTATATCACATCTATGGGAAGAGGTGGTGGAAAAACTCAAAATCTTCAGCCAAAGCAAGGCTAGGAGCTGATTGTGGAACAGACCATCAACTGCTCATATACAAGTTCAACTTGAAGTCGAAGACAATTAAAACAGGTCCATGAGAGCCAAAATATGACCTTAAATATATCCCTCCCAAATTTAGAGACCACCTAAAGAATAGATTTGATGCATTGAACACCAATGACCAAAAACCAGAGGAACTGTGGGATGACATCAAGAACACCATCCATGAAGAAAGCAAAAGGTCATTAAAAAGATAGGAAAGGAAGAAAAGACCAAAATAGATGTCAGAAAAGAGTCTGAAACTTGCCCGTGAGCGAAGAGTAGTTAAAGCAAATGGAAAAAATGACAAGATAACAAGACCTGAATAGAAGATTTCAAAGAGCAGCTTGGGAAGACAATGTCAATTATTATAATGAAATGTGCAAATACCTGGAGTTCGAAAACCAAAAGGAAGAATACACTCAACATCTCTCAACTGAAAGAACTGAAGAAAAAATTTAAGCCTCAAGTTGCAATACTGAAAGATTCTATGGACAAAATATTGAGTGATGCAGGAAACATCAAAAGAAGATGGAAGGGATACACAGAGTCACTGCACCAAAAATAATTGGTCGATGTTCATCCATTTCAGGCAGTGGCATATGATCAAGAACCAATGATATTGAAAGAAGAAGTTGAAGCTGTACTGAGGGTAGTGGTGAAAAACAAAGCTCCAGGAATTGACGGAATACCCATTGAGATGTTTCAACAAACGGATGCCGTGCTGGAGGCACTCACACAGTTATGCCAAGAGATTTGGAAGATAGCTACCTGGCCAACTGACTAGAGGAGATCCACATTTGTACCCATTCCAAAGAAAGGTGATCCCACAGAATGTGGAAATTATCAAACAATATCGTTAATATCACATGCAAATAAAATCTTACTGAAGATAATTCAAAAACGGTTGCAGTACTATATTGACAGAGAACTTTCAGAAATACAAGCTGGATTCAGAAGGGGATGTGGAATGAGGGATATCACTGCTGAATGTCAGGTGAATCTTGGCTCAAAGCAAAGAATACCAGAAAGATGTTTACTTGTGTTTTTTTTTTTTTTTTTTTGACTATGCAAAAGCATTTGATTGTGTAGGTAATAATAAATTATGGATAACACTGAGAAGAATGGGAATTTCAGAACCCTTAATTGTACTCATGAGGAACCTGTACATAGACCAGGAGGCTGTTGTTTTAACAGAACAAGGGAACATGGTTTAAAATCAAGAAGGGAATGTGTCAGGATTGTATCCTTTCAGTATAGTTATTCAACTTGTAGGCTGAGCAAATAATCCGAGAAGCTGGACTATATGAAGAGGAACGTGGCATCAGGACTGGAGGAAGACTCATTAACAACCTGCAAAATACTGATAACACAACTTTGCATACTGAAAGTGAGGATGACTTGAAGCACTTACTGATGAAGACTGAAGACTAGAGTCTGCAGTGTGGACTATACCTCAATATAAAGAAAACAAAAATCCTCACAACTGGATCAATAAGCAGCATCATGATAAGTAGAGAAAAGATTGAAGTTGTCAAAGACTTCACATTGCTTGGTTCTACAATCAACACCTATGGAAGCAACAGTCAAGATATCAGATGATGCATAGCACTGGGCAAATAGGACCTCTTTCAAGTGCTAAAGAGCAAAGATATCTCCTTGAAGACTAAGGTGTGCCTGACACACGCCATGGTATTTTCAATTGCCTCGTATGCATGTGAAAGCTGGATAATGAATAAAGAAGACTGAAGAAGAGTTAATGCTTTTGAGTTGTGGTGTTGGCGAAGAATGCTGAAAGTACCATGGACTGCTAAAAGAACTAACAGGTCTGTCCTGGAGGAAGTGCAGCCAGAATGTTCCTTGGAAAAGAGAATGGCCAGACTTCGTCTCACCTACTTTGGTCATGATGTAAGAAGAGAACATTCCCTGGAGAAGGATGTCATGCTTGGTAAAGTGGAGGGTCGACAAAGAAGGGGAAGGCCCTCAATGAAATGGATTGACAAAGTGGCTGCAATGATGAGCTCAAGTATAGCTGGGATCATGGAGCTGGCACAGGACCAAGCAGTGTTTTGTTCAGTTGTACATAGGGTTGCTATGACTTAGAGACAACTTGATGGCACTTAACAACAAAAACAAAAGTAGGCATTGAGTTTGGGTTTTGTTTTTTGGGATATATACATAAGAACCACACAGGGATCTATAAAAATAACCTGGGGTTCTTGTTTAAATGTAGATTCTGATTCAGTATATCTGGGGTAGAATGGCAAATTCTCAGCAGAGGGTTGAACTAGAATGAATCTGTTTGAAGCCCTGATGATGATAATCCATTATAGTAATTGCCCTGACAATGGTGTATACACGTAGTGAGAGAGAAAAACAATGTAAGCTAAGTGTCAGGAAAACAGATTGATTTGGCTCTGTGCTGGTGGGATGGGAGGGGCTATGAACTTTCAAAGGCTGGGTGCACAGGACGATGCTGGTGCTGCTGTGTTTGCAAGAGGGGCTCAGGTCTGGAGACACATACACACTTACCATCTGCGATGTCGATGCCTGGGCTGGTGGATGCCACCTCCCCTGCTGTGCTCGCCATTGCGTCAGGATTGTCAGAAGCTGGCCGGGTGCCCCCTTGGCACATGGGAGGTGAATACAGACTCTGGAGCAGCTCAGAGGAGCCTGAGGTGCTGTCACAGGTTTCTGACTCCCCTGGGCCTGTGTCCATGTCTGTTGAGCCAGGGTAGGCTGGGGGGCTCTGGTCATCCACAGGTAAGGGGCAGCCCTGGCCCATAGAGGCCAGGTACCCAGGGCCTAAGGCACTCAACCCACCACTCACGGCCTCGTCGTAGGACGGGAGCATGACAGGAACACCATCCACCACCACGAAGTCAGGGTCACTGCTTGAGCTCCTGGGAGGCCCCCTGCAGCAAAGGAAAGCAGTGCCCACCTATCAGACACCTGCCAGAAATGGGTGTCTCCAATGCTCCCCACCATGGCTGGAGTCCCCAGGGCACATGATGGGCAGGGAAGGCTTGTATAGACATGGGGGTTGGGGAGAACCAGTCCCTTGCAAACCCATCTGGCAGGTGGTGGCCACACTTCAGAGAGCAGAATGTTTTTCTCCTGCTCCTCCCCTGCCCTCCTGCCTCTCCCCTCCCCTTGGGCTCATCCCTGTTGACTCTGGACTCTGCTGTCTTCTCATTTTTCCCTCCTCTAACCTCTGGGCTTGGCCTCATGTCCATATACATGTAGAGAGAGGGACCTTGTGGCCCATTCCAACAGAGCAACCCAACATGTGTCTATTAAGTAATAGGAAACTGTGGTCTGTAAGTGCTTACAAGGAATGGGTAGCCTCCAGTGCTAGCTTCTTTGTTGTTTTTGCTATAGGACAGAAGCCACTTAATTTTCAATCAAGACAAAACAACAAGAAAGGAAAGCTATGGGCGCCACCACATAGAGAGTTTTACATTATCTCATTCAAGTCATCTGGGCTCACCTCCACCTCCCTACTTAGCAACCATTTTAATCTAAGTTAATCTCTGCTGGCCCCTGAGTGATGTACACAGTTCATGCACTCAACTGCTAACAAAAAAGTCAGAGATTTGAGTACACCCAGAGATGCCTCAAAAAACAGGCCTGGTGATCTACTTCCAAAAATTCAGCCATTAAAAACCCTATGGATCACAGTTCTACTCTGACACATATGGGGTTGCCATGATAACAGGTGATTTGATGGTGACTGGTAATGCCTGTGCTAACTGACAGGAAGACTCCAGAGAGTGGCTGAGAAGTCAATCCATTACCTTCTATAGGCACTCCCTTATGTGGAGCAGCAGCAGCCTCCTGGCCTTAACACTTGGTATCTAATCACTTGCTGGATTTGAACTCAATGCTGTTGGATTTGAACCCAAGTGTGTCTGATGCCAATTCCCAAGCTCCATCTAGCACCACTCTGCTCCCAGCCCCTAGTGGCTAGTAAGTACCCACTAGGACTTGGTTTCCTATTTCCTTTGCTGGGAACTGGTGCTTAATGATGCAGCCAGAAGGTAAAATATCAGGAAGAGAAGAAAGCCCCAGCTGGTGAGCAGATTCTGAGTCACTGAGTGCCACCTGCAGTGGCTCCAGACCTCAAGAAAAGAAATGTGTAGGGACTGATGTCTGAGGTGGGGGTAAGCATCTGATCTTGGTTCTCTAACACTTGAGGGGTCCACTGACTTTGGGAAATGTCTTGCAAAGGCTTAGAGGTTATAGGGTTTTTGTTCCCTAGTTCATAGAGGTTACCCAGAGAGGGAGGGGAGATCCCCAAGGCCCATGCACCCCAGAAGGAAAGAGGCAGTGGGGATGGGGTAGGGAGAGGCTGAGGATCTCTACAGCTGAGCTCATTCTGAATCAGACTTCTCTCCCTCCCTCATCCCTCCACCAATAGCCATTTCTGAAAGGATCCTTGACAAGCTGAGTTCCTCCCATGATTCAGCAGCTTCTCCTCCATTACATCCCAACCATCACATCAGTTCCCACACACCCACTCACCAACCTCCAGGGTCTAGTCTCGTGGGATCTGGAGAAAAAAAAAAAAAAAACACCTTGTCCCTGATGATCTCATTATCTATTTGGATGTTGTTGTTAGTTGCTGTTAAGTTGATTCCAACTCATGGAGACTCCATGTGTTAAAGAGTAGGACTGTTCTATAGGGTTTTCTTGGCTGTAATATTAATGGAAGTAGATTGCCAGGTCTTTCTTCCACAATACAGCTAGGTAGGCTCAAACTGCCAACCTTGAGGTTGGCAGTCAAGCACAAACTATTTGCACCACTCAGGGATCTCTATTTGGATAGATGAGACCAACTTTTCCAAAACAAGTAGTGACCGATATAAGATGGAATATACTCAAGGGATAAAAATCAAATGTAAGAGTCTACAGAACAATTAAAACACATCTTAATATTTAGTTGATATTCCAGAAACTTTTCTTCCAAGCATATGTAGAAAAATATCCATATAGACCACTGAAAGTACTCCAAAACCAAAAACCAAACTCGTTGTGACTCTACAGGACAGAGTAGAACTGTCCCATAGGGTTCCAAGGCTGTAATCTTTACAGAAGCAGACTGCCACATCTTTCCCTTGCAGAGCGGCTCGTGGGTTCTAACCACCCACCTTTTGGTCAGCAACCAAGCACTTAACCATTTTGCTACCTGGGCTCCTTGAAAGTACTCTAATGTACCATAACAAATAACAACTGTGTTGTTTAGCTTTCTCTTTGCACTTCTTAAGCTTTCTTTAGATACTGTGGCTGCTCAGTGATAAAACCTGGCTGATTAATAAATAATAATGCTAGGGACTGGGAAAATGAATGGAAGGTTTGAGAGGAAGGGAGGTTCTGGCCCCTCAACAAGGGCTTGGCTGAGGCCCCAGGGTGGCACTGATACAGCACTGGCCTGGTAAAGAGCTCAGGTGGCCCCAACTCCTAGCAAAATGTTCGTGGCTGGGATAGTGGGGTTTTTAAATTGTGATTTGGATGAAAGTTTACAGAGAATATTCATTTTCCACATAGCAGTTCTTACACATTTAGTTTCATGACATTGTTTATAATCTCCATAATGTAACACCTCTCTTCCCACTTCTTCCCTGTGGTTACCTTTTCCCTGTGTCCTTTCCTATGCATTCCTGTTCTCTGAGCTAGCTCCCTGTGAAAATGCTGCCCTTCTGATCACCCATGAGTGACTGTTCTAAGGAGTGTACCTACCTGGGGTAAATGTTCACTTTATGGCCTATTGTTTGGCTGGAAACCATGAGTGTGAGTTCAATTCCAGTCCCGAAAGGTAACTAGGAACCATAGACTCAGGAGTTTCACTGATCTCCATCAGACCAGTAAGCCTGGTCTTATTTATGATTTTGAGTTTTGTTCCACATTGTTCTCCCACTCTATTCAGGATCCCCTGCACTGATCCCTTGCCAAGTAATTGACAGTGGTAGCTGTGCACCATCTAGTTCTTTTAGTCTCAGGGCAAAGTAGGCTGAGGTTCACATGCCCACTAGTCTCTTGGACTAATTTTCTCTGGTTTTCTTCATTTTGTGCTGCAGATGAGAAGAGACCAATTATTGCATCTAGATGGCTACTTGTGAGCTTTTAAGACCCCAGGTGCTACTTACAAAAGTGGGAGGTAGAACAATGTTTTGTGTAGTATGTTATGCTGATTGAGTTTGATGTCACCTGTGACCATGATCTAGAGGGGTGTTTTTGGGTTGTGATGATGTGGGGCCTTGGCTGCCAGGCAGGCAATGTTGCTACATGAAGGAAGACTCCTGTGGGAAGTGGAAGGCTATGAGGAAAGCTGGGTGGAGGCTGTCTCTAGCACCTCTGCCCCATTTCCCTCACTCCTAAGCCCCTGGGAGGCACATGAGACACAACTGGATTTTCTTGGAGGAAAAAGAGTGATGTGGTTAATTCCAGGGAGCCACCTCCTGCACCAAGCAATTTTCAAAGGGTGGTGCTCAGGGCACTGGAGGCTAGTCAGTCCCTGTAGCAAAAATAAACACCTTGTTTTGAAGCATTTGGTCCTGAAATGGGAAGTATCTTCCACAGCCAAGAATCCAAGGCAATAATGATGCCTTTGTAAAAGGTAGCTCATGTTGGCAGCACCTGGCTAGTATTCTGTGATGTTTTGGTCTCTGAAGCTCCTTAATATTCACAAAGCTCTCCCTTTGCTTTCTAACTTATTTCCACCTCCAGGAACAGTGTCTTCCTGTAGTAGTGTGTTGAGTGATGCTTTTTTGTTCACAGGGCCCTGTTGTTTGTGGTTCAAGGATGCTGTCAGCACTGAAGAGGAGGGGCCCAGGCTGCTTGTTACGGGATCAGACCTGCCTATGTGAGAGTTTAGCCAACTCCTGCTTGATGGTGACTGTGAAGACACCAACCAAAGAGAGTCTGTGTGGCCAGGAGGATGGAGAACACCCTCTGCGCATTCCATGTTCAGATTTGAATTCAAGGTGTACTCTCATGAACCCTTTCCTGAGTCCCCCACCCCAAAGTCTCCCCTAATTCCAAAGAACCATGTCATGCACATCATTTTTGAATCTCCACCATGTCACATGCCTTTACGTCGTATTCTAATAGAGTTTGTAACTGTCTGCGTTTCCTTGGGGGCTGTAAGCTCACTAGAACATAACTGCAAAGCACACATAGCAGAGATGGTGGGAATGGTGCTCCCAAGGCTGGGCAGTGCACAGTCCGCAGCTGTGCTTCCCTTTCTATATACCAACAATGCTTGCCCTGAGAATGGGATAAGGAGGGAAGGTGAGACAGGGAAGAACGGAAAATAAAGTCTGTCTCTGGCTTGATCCTCTGTTCCTGAGACACCTTACCAACCAGGAAATTAGTTTTAGTTCTCTTTCCTATACCTCCTTGAAACTACCAGTTGCCATCGAGTCAATTCTGACTGATGGCAACCCCATGTATGTCAGAGTAGAACCAGGCTCCGCAGGATGTTCAGTCTCCACACGATTGTCTTCTGAGGTTGCCTCTGGGTAAACCTTTTGGTTAGCAACCAGGTGCAAAGCTGTTTATGCTACCCAGGGGCCCATTTCCCTTTTAATTAAATCTGCACCTTCTCTCTTTGTTGCTCAAGGTGGCTATAAGGAACCTGATTATGTGCACACATGGGTTGCCAAAGCCCCAGCACTGACCTCGGGGGAAAGTGGGCCTTGAACTTGGTCTGGAACATCCTGGCCAGGATGACGAGAAGTAGCACCAGCAGCACACTGGTTGCTGTGAATGCCACGATCTTCCACGTGGTCAGGAGGGTCTCGTGGGTGCTGGGCCATGTTTGTTCTGCCGTGAAAGAGAACAAAGCTGCATGTGAGGCTCATGTACACGTTCCCTACATGACCCATTCACTGGGTGGAACTGATGAGCTGAGACACCTACAGCATGCTGCTTGGCCACCAGGGCTCATGGAAGCACCACATGCACGAGCTTGCACATGTAACATCAAATCTGGATCCACGTCATGCTAAAACCTGTCCCCAGGGTGGACCCTGCCTGCATGTTCACATTCTGAACCTGGGTGCAAGCCTGGAGTAGGGCTAAAGACACCTGCTCTGGGGCAGAGAATAAAAAGGGTCCTTCTTCCCACAGAAAGGTTATTCTGAAACGGACCAAGGGTAAGGAGAGAGGGAAGCTGGGCTATAGAACTTTGTGCATATTCTGAGACATATTGTTGATTGGAGTGAAGCACAGTGGGGTGAGGAAAGGGACAGAGGTTAAACAGACATGCCTGTTCCATGCTCCTCTCCCCTGCACCCCTATACTTCTGCCAGAAAAAAGGAAGCAAGAATGGACCCTTTTGGTACAAGCCACCCTGTCTCTTGAATGTCTCCCTCCATTACGGTTACCTCCTCCCTCTCCCAATGTCTTGCTCATAGCCTCACTCTTAGACAACACACTGCAGGACTCCTCCCCTCATCTGTTTATATGACAATTTTTATGCCTCCAGAGACCCTGAGTTAATCAATGCTTTTCCCCTACGTTATGTCCAAGGGGAAAATGATGCAGCCACCCCCACAGCTCAGGGCAGGTGGCCATGCCACTGCCTGGAAAATGCTGGAGAGTGGGCAGGAACAAGAAGGGCAGTACACTGCAGGGTGTGTGCTGGTGATCAGTGCAACAAGACCAGTTATGAGGCTGGTTTGCAAGTAATTTGTTATTAACTCTAAGGCACTGAAGCTTACAAATGCTGACATTTTTGTAAGTGAGAATAGAATTTACTCATAGTAATATCATTAGTATTCTGATGTGCTTCCTTGAATGGAAGAGAAAGATGGGGTTGGGCTTAGTGCGGGTCCTGGGCAATGTGCATAATTCTGGTCATGTCCATGGGCCTGTGTCCTGCATAAGAAAGGCATGCCTCATGCAAGTGGAGGGGGACAAGGTTGAGAGAAAACAAGAGTAGACAGAGGCCGGAAGACAGTCCATGGTTGCTAAAAGTCAAGACATTCTGTTCAGAGGGTCAGGATTTGAACTGGGAATGGATAGATTAATAATCCAAACTGTTGAACAGGGCCTAGAATCATCTGGCAAAGTTCGTCATCAGCCACGTATACCCATAAGAATAGTTCTCTATGCCCTGCTTCTAATATTAGGTTGGGGAAGTGGAGGATAGAGCTCAGTCTATAAGCACAACCACTGGTGTGCTGCGGTTTGAGCCTGGATGGTGCATATGTCCTGTCCAAGGAGGATTGAGTCTCTTCCCAGGTGAGGCCTTTGGATCTGCTCACCTGACTTGATGCAGTAGACTTGGTAGGAAGGAAACCACTCTCCGTACTGGCAGGTGATGTACTTGTAGTCACTGGTGAGGCTGTAGCCAGGATCACAGTAGAACTCCACCACTGTCCCATGGTTGTAGCGCTCACAAGGCCGAGGGTGGCAGATGAAATCTCCATGACTCACCATTGGAGGTAGTGGACAAACTTGGGCAGTTGGGGAGAATAAGAGTTTCAGAACCACATCCTTACCCTGTCTGAAGTCCTCAAGATACGGACTGGCCTAGGAGGACACCACTACTTAAAGAGACATGTATATACCAATCATCAGACTGTTGAGTTATACTAGAGAAAGTTACTTCTCCTAAATATTCCTATGACATTAAACGGAAGCCTGTTATAACATCCCCAGCACGTGTGGCTGACATATGGTGTATACTACATCATAAAAGAGAGGTTTATTTGTATAATACAAAGAGTATGCCTATTTAATAGATAGTTTTAAGCCAGTCTATTAATAATGCATGCTATTATGTGCCAGACAACCTAGCAAATAAAATGAAGATATTTATGGACAAATATCCTAAAGGAACAACTATCTCAAATCTATGTCTGTGACCATGGGTATAACTTGCAATTGTTCAAATCACTGGGAAGTGCCCCTAACCTAATCCCCAAATACCCTGCTAGGGTTTGGCCACTGATCGGCATGGAGCAATTCTGATTCTGGCCTGATGTAGGACGACTTGGGTGTCAGGCTTGTTTCTGTCCTGACCCACTGGGTGACCTTAAGCAAGTCACTAAGCTCCTTGGGTCTTGCTTTTCTTCTCTATAAAATGGAAGTTTATTTTACCTTAGATGATGTTCTATGGTTTTTCTGACACTAATTTAAGGAGCTCTGGTGGCTTAGTGCCTAAGCCATTTGACTGCTAACCAGATGTCTGGTGGTTCAAACTGACCAGCCACTCAGCGAAAGGAAGACTGGACAATCTACTTCCATAAAGATTTACTGCCTCGGAAACCCAAAGGGGTCGCTGTGAGTCAAAATCAACTCGATGGCGGTGAGTTTGTTTTTTCAGTTTAATATCCTATGGTTTTAGAGGAAGAAAAAATGTTTTTAGTTTCTTATCTTGAGACCCCACTCTGTGTTACAAGAAACAATGGTTCCATCACTATGACCAGAAAGATGGCTTCAGTGGAGTTAGGTATTGTTCTTTTCATGCCACAAAGGGCCCTCTTTTCTGAAGAAGGACTTAGAAATAAAAAACTTCGACATTTAAACATTCTGTAAGAAATAATCACACCACAGATGCTACCCATGGAAACCACTAAGAACTTTCCTTTCTCTCTCTCTCTCTCTCACCACACACACACAGTTACCTTTTGAGCCCCTTTCTTGGGGGTAATTAAACATTCCAGTCACTGCAGACAATGGCAATGCCCTGAACCAGTTCACCCCCACACAAGACTGAGTCATTGTGGAGACCCGCTGATCCCAAAGTGGCTGCAAGAAGGCCACAGAGAAGCTGGCAGTACTCGCTAGCAGCAATGTGTGCCCACAGAGGCTGGATAACAAGATGCCTCCTGCTCAGAGGGCTCATGCTGATGGAGGTGCCCCAAGGCTGGGGAGGCAACAGGGCTAATAGACTTACCTCAATCCTCCAAGCATCCCTGCAATGGAGATACTGCTGGTTCTTTTAGAAACAAAGAAGCAGAAACTCAGAGAGCTCAAGCTCTCCAGAAGCAACTGGAGGGATGACCAAGAGCTCTGGCAGACCCAGACAGACCTAGGAGGGAATTTTGGCTGAACTGTCTATCAGCTGAGTGACCTGAGCGAGTCGCTTTTCTTCTCTGGGTGTCAGTGTCCTCACTGGTAAAGCAAAGTTTCGAGGATTGTCGCTAGGAGTGCTGGGAAGAGCTTAGCCTTGGGCTAATTGTAAGTGGATCTGTCAGGAACAACCAGACTAGACCCAAGCACTTTTAGAGAAGGAAAGAGGTAATTGCTTGCAGTATGATGGAAAACGTGACACCAACAAGGACAATGAGGCACCCAGAGAGAAGCAGCTACAGAAAGCCATTACCACCCCAGGCTGGTAGAGTAAAGAGGTCCTAGTTGCCAGCTACCCCAAGGCAGAGAGGGTGATAGAGTAATAAAATACTCTGTTGTTTTTTTCTGTTTTCCCATTCTCCAGTCTCCCTCTGGACAAGCCAAGAGATGGGGGTGGGAGAGCTAGTTGACAGTAGAGCCTGGGAAACTCATCAAACAGGGGTCAGTCCCTCTGCAGTACAGACAGCCCCAGCCTGTCCTCAATAAATGGTGTCTTCTCTGGGACTGCTATCCAGGATCAGCCAGGCAGACACTGGCTGAGTCAGGACTTGAACCCTGACTAAGTTGGACCACTGCCTGCAGTGTCTCCTGGCCTAGCAGGCCCCTCCCACATGCTACCCACTGAAATGGAGAGATAACTCCCATGCATTTCCATTCCACAAAAAAGGGCTACCTCTGTGAGTATCCACAGTCGGTAAACAAGGCAGTAGGAAGTGAAGGGAATGAGAGGCAGGAGGAGGGAGAGAGAAAGTCATCAGATCAAAATGACAAAGGCAACTCAAAAGGTTGAAAAGAAAGCTTAGAGGCCAGTGAGTTTCAGACATTCGTAGAATAATGTGGAAAAGGACAGCGAGAATGGTAGCACAACTTGAAGAATATAACGAGGATCACTGGATTGCACATGCCAAAACTGCTGAAATGGTGTCTCTTTGGCTGTGTATCCGTGCATCAAAATAAAAAAAGAAAGTGTCATCAGTAACATTTAATGGTGATCTGGGAGGCCTTCAGGAATGAGGGACTCAGGATTCTCCCCCCCCACCCCCACAAACAAAAAGGCAACCCCCTGTGTTTATCCTCCACACAGTTCAGAGAGCCCAGGGATGGCAGAGAGTCCCAGACCAGGCTTGCTGGTGCTCAGAAAATCATGCCTCCCACAGCTCAGCAAAGGGAGCCAAAGGGGCTCTTGGAACTCTCTTCCTTGGAGGAAATCATCCCCTGTCCCAAAGTGAAAACAGAGGGCAGATTCGGATTTCGTTGCCACCGCACTGGTCTCTAGGGCTGACCAGGCTCCTCTGGCTGTGGGGGAAGAAGGAGGATGGGAATGTTTCCCGTGAGTACTCTCTGCCCCCAACGCTGCCCCCTCACTGGAGGCTGGGACCATCTCTGGAAAAGGAGGCCCTGGCCTGTGGTCAAGGGCACACAGAGAGTGGGATTCTCTTGTCAGGCCCCTGAGGGTCACCGCAGGATTAAAACATGACCAGGACTATGTTTCAAGGCCCAGAAAGCTTCCTGAGAGGTTGGAAGAGGCCTAGCATGCATATTTGTTAGCAGCACTTTTTCTCACTTGGCCTGAAGGATAAAGGACTGTTCAAATCATTGTATTAACCCTGAGGCAAATGGTCCCCCAGTGTGCTAAAGATGACTGCAGTGTGCAGGTCAATCCCTTAAAGGGACAAAGGGGGCAGCATCATATGGTGCATGCAGGATGAGCTGCAGTTTCCCAGTTTACGTTCCAATCCCAGCTGCACTACTGAGGAGCTCCGTGAGGCAGCTTGTTTAACTTCTCTGGGTCTTACCTTCTTCTTCTATATAATGAGGGAAACAATTTCTAACTCCTAGGGGTGTTGTGAGGTTTAGAAGATGTACGTAAATTGCTTAGCACAAACACTGGACACTTAATAAATAACGAGCGTTAGTATTTTTCCACCACCCATCTGTCACTTTGTTGTACTGTGGTGTGTAAAACATTTTGCAATGATGCTGGAAGCTCTGCCAACAGTATTTCAAATACCAGTAGGGTCAGCCATAGTGGACAGGTTTCAGCAGAGCTTTGAGACTAAGGCAGGTTAGGAAGAAAGGGCTGAAAATTAATCAATGACAACTCTATGTCACACAAAGGATATTGTCTGAAGGAGCTCTGGTGGCGCGGTGCCTAAGGCATTTGACTTCCTTCCTCAGAAGGAAGACTAGACAATCTACTTCCATAGTGATATTGCTTCAGAAACCCAAGGATGGGTTGCTATATGAGTCGGATCCAATTCGACGGCAGTGAGTTTTAGTTTTTTTGAGTGCCAGAAGATGAGCCCCCTAGGTTGGAAGCACTCAAAATACCCAGCGACTGTAACAATGGACTTGTGTGTACCAGTGACGTGAGGATGACACAGGACTGGGCAATGCTGCGTTCTGTTGTACATAAGGTTGCCAGGAGTCAGAGCGGACTCAATGGCAATTAACAACATTACTGGTGCCAAACCTGCTGAGTTCCCAAGCTGCCACTCCAGTGCTGGAGAGCTGGAAGTCTTATGAAATCAGGATATCTGGCCTACGCCAGGCCAGCCCCAAACATTCAGAGAATCTGAATTTTTTCACTGCCATGTTTTCTCAGGGGCCAGATAAAAACCATCCAATGTAGAAGCTTTAATTCTGAGACTGTCATAATCGGCTTGTAATGGAGATGCATTTTTTCCCTAAGTGGAAACATTTATCTTCACACTTTGCAGTGTTTCTAATGATTGCACCTGGCAGACCATTAACTTTGCTGCAAAGGGAAACCCCATGTCATGGCTGGGGTGGAGGGTAGGGAGTGTTTCTATTAACTTGGAATAAGACAACAACGAAAGTATGGTTAATTATAAAATTGGAGAAGCTTCTTTTAAAATGACAATAAAGGAGACACCTTAGGCTCAGGACTTTCCACTTCCCAAGACAGCCTCTAACAATAGGGCTAAAGGTAGTTCTGCTACCTTTCTTCTCTTCAGATGCCTCACTCCCCCAAATGGGAGACATATACAGACAGATGGACATGAGAACACAGGGTGGCATGAACAAAGTTTCTTCTGCATATCTATTTTTTTCTCTTACAACTTTCTAAATTATTAACACTAGTTATTAGTTTTGCAAGGCTTGGAGTCTGGGCATTTAGTTACAGGCAATGCAATGAGGCTGTGCACTCAGCCAGAATAATGACCCCCCTCCAGTGCCGACTGTTTGCTCCTTGTTTTATGATGGAGGGTTACGGCATCTTTCAGATAAACAGGAGCATGTACATCTATCCAAATGGTTACAGAAGACAGATTTTCACCATATATAGTCTCTCTTGAAACTTGGCAGTGGTAGGCTAGGTGGCAGGGGCTGGGGGACAGGAAGAAGATGGCGTGCC